AAAATTAAGAACAAGTGTTAATCAAAAAGCCGTTTTAATAGCATAATGATAGCAAAAATGACCGATTATATTTTTTTGTCATTTTTTATTCCTTTTTAGCAGTCAATAAACTAGGCCCAAAAAAATAAACTGAGTAATGACACCCATAGCCAAAATAACGACTCTTATTTTGTTAGTTGCAAAAGGGGTTGAGTGGCTTGTAAATCCATAAAAAGGGAAAATCTGAAAATTAATTTTTCCTTCACCAAAACTAAATAATTTTGGCCCAACACCAACACTTATTTTGCTCGAATAACTAAAACCATGAGCCGTTAAGGCATGACCGCACTCATGAACGAAAATATTGAAAAAACTTCAAAAATAGGAAAAAACGGCTATTCAAATTATATCTTCGCCACTATAATTTCATTGGTCGGATTTTTTTAATCAATAATAGCAAATGACTGGAACAAGAATAAAAACAAAAGCAAATATAACTTTTTCTCGCACCCCCATTACTCCGCCTTAACTAGTGGCAACACCGACACAAAGGTTCTTTTCTGTCTTCTGATATTTTTTTGATAAAATTTTACCACTCCGTCATATTGAGCGTGAATGGTATAATCCCTACCCAAAAATACTCCTTGACCTTCTTTATATTTGGTTCCACGTTGGCGAATAATTATGCTGCCTTTTTTCACCGACTGACCGCCGAATATTTTTACTCCCAGGTTGTTAGGATTGTAAGATTTATGGCTACAATTAGTAGCCGCCGAACCGCCCCCTTTTTTTTGGGCGAAAAATTGTAAATCTAGTGAAAATGTTGACATGCTTATTATTTATTTTTTATCTTTTTGGGTTCCGACAAAATGTGGATCTATTTTTTCTCTTTCAACAATAAGCAATTAGTCCGGTTATTAAGACAACTACAACAGCCCCAATTGCTAGACCCTTATAGAGACTTTTATTGTCTTTATTAGAATTTGAATTAGTATTATTATTTTGTAATTCACTTAAAGAAAGAGATTGAGTGGGTAGTTTTTCAATAATTTTATGATAATTTTGTTGTTCGGGGTCCTCGTTGGTTATAGTTGTATTATTATTATTATTATTATGCGTGATTATCAATTGACCCTCTTTTAAACTAATTTTTTTGATACCATTTTTGAGAAAATATTGAAGAATTTGCTGTTTTTCACTCTCGCTCATTTGGTTATTTTTGTTTTCCTCTGGTTCAGGTGTCCGACCATGGTAATGGAGAAAATTCTCGTCAGGCCGAGTTCATTTTTTATCTGACAAGCACGCTCGGCCTTCAAAATGACAACAAAGTTTAACACCGCAAATATCACAATTTTTATCACAAGCCACGTAATAAGCCGGACGATTTTTTTTCATGTCGTCTAAATGAGCGTCAATTTCGGCGACGTGATGATTGGCTAAAAGAGTTTGCTCGTTGGCTTCATGGTCTCAATGATTTTTTTGTTTTGCTTTTTCTTGTCAATAATTAAACTTTTTGGTTAGGCGTTCCCGCAATTCTTCCAAATATTTTCGGCATAATCCCTGGCGGTGCGGTCAATTTCTTTGCCATTCCTCCTCTAATCCGCCGTTTTTGGAATAATATTCGTGAGTTTCGGCTGGCGTTCTCGGTCGGTCAATAGTGAAAAGTCCTCAAAAGTCCTCCAATGATTTAAGCGGAGTATCGCCTGAATAATCCCTTTTACAATTTTCAAACTCGCTTTTAGTAATGCCAATTTTAATCTCCCTTCCACCATTATCATTTTTTTCACCCACATAAAGATACATATTGCCGTCTTGGCCGTCAATTATTTCCACTCAACCGGAAAAATGTGGATTGGTTGATTGATAGATTTTGGTCTCATTTTCGCGGACATATTGGTGTGATATTAACTTCAAATCTCAATTATTTTCGGCTACTAAGTAGCGGTATAGATGGCATTCACCATCAACTTCTTTCACTGGTTTATATGTATCATGGTCTAATTTTGATTGGATATGTCGCCCTATTTTGTCTTCCCAAGGACCATCTTTTTCGTTGCTCGCAAAAAGTCCTTCTGCTGCTCTGGGAAAAAGTTCATGCAATTGGCTGCGAACTTCAACTTCGTCATATACTCCACTTTTTTTAGAAAAGCCCTCTTCTCTAAGCGAGCAAATGTTTACTTCCTTTTTGCCATTGCTAATTATAATTCCTCAGTCAAGACGCTTTTTACTGCCTTCTCCTTTTGGCATTTCCATATATCGTTCTCTTAATTTTCACTCCCCACCGGAATTTTTTCACTTTTTGGCTTCGGCAATTAATTCTTGTCCGTTATTTACTTTGATTTTTTGAGTTTCAATATTTTTGTTCATGATTAATTATTCTTTTGCTTAATGTTATATATATTATTGATTTTATTATTATGCTTTTGGGGATAACTCACCCCTAAATATATTTTAGCAACTTAGTAAGTCAAAAACCTCATTTAATTGTTTTATTTTATTAATTATGTGGCTACTTTTCTTTAAAAAATTTTCTTCATTCTTCAATAAAGAATCCT